TAACCAGTGACACTAATTTTTAACTTTAAATACTTGATTACGATTTTTATTATCGCTATTCCTTCAATTAATTTAATTGTAAGTATATGAACAATTTTAGTTCTCCGGATTCAGATGATACGTATTATGGGGATGACTCCGAAGAAGGACGCGATGACCAGTATTTAGTATCAGATAGATATGAAAGTAAATTCTACGGATCTGTTCACGGGGGTTCAACTGCTGGTTCTACAACAGCTGCTGGTAGCTTTAATGCAGCAAGCGCTAATATTACTAGATCTATTAAGGTAACAATATGCTATTTATAGGGTGGAATAGATCTAACTGACAACTATAATTTTTGACACAATCAATATTTCGTTGTATTTTTGTTTTTAATAATTTATGCATTCTTAATCTATGTTAAAATTATTTTTTAATTTTAATAGTTTTCAATATTTTAAAATAGTAAATTTTTAAACACATTCTTATATAAAGGATTAATGGGCTGATAACAATTTTAAGACGAGTAAATGTTGACTTATAAGAATCAGTACGATCTGTACCCATCTATGCTACATATCCACTCTATATATTATATAGCTTGTAACTCAATGTTTGATCATTTTTAAATCGTTATACACCTACTAATCATTTTTGTAAGAAAAGTACTTAAAACTGGCTATTTTGAAATCTTGAAAAAATATCAAATGAAAAGAAAATGTTTTTTATTATTATTAAATAACAAATAATAAAAAATATTGTGTAAGAATAAATAAATTATAAAAAAAAAATTACAATGAATTGTTAACTGTATTAAAAGTTATATGAATTATCAGTCAAATCTATACCATCTTGTATACTAATTTTTAATTAAATAGTCCAATGCAATGAATTTGTAAAAGTATTCCACAAGAAACTAAAATTTTAGACTCAATTAACTTCATTTGAAAATACTTAAATTTAATAATGAACTTTTTTGTATTTTAGTAAGTTTTCTCAAATTAAAAAATTATATTTATTTTATAGGCGGCTACTTATTTGTGTCCAGCAATATTTCCATGGGTAGACACGGGACCTGCAACTGAGGAGAGCGGATATATTGTGCTCAAAATGGTTGGAGTATTCTATGTACTTATCATTGTCTTTGATATAATGCTAGTGGTCATATCTCCAGAATCATCTACGTTCACTTATATTATTTTGTATACGCTGCTTATTGCTATAATCATTGTTCTTGGTGCAATATCACGAAAACCACAAAACAAGTACGGATATTTTACTAATTTATTTATGTTACTTATTTTCAGATATTTTATGAGCATATTTTTCAGAAATAAAAATGAAATTTTACCTTTAAAATTATCTATATAACAAATCAATTTAATTTGTAAATTACTATTAGTTAATAATAAATTCTTGAAGTAAAATTTAATGAACTAATTTTTAGTTTGCATGGAAATAAAAATGCTTATTCTACATATTTATATTTTTGAAGTATTATTTTTTACAGTCAAAGTAAAAATATGTCTATATTTTTTTTTGTTCTTTCAAATTGACTTTTAAGTATAGAAATCATTATCAAGTGCATAACAAGAGTTACTTAAAATTTTTTTTAAGAGT